AAAAAAAAAAAAACTTGGAAAAATTCAACAGCGACGTCTCATGAGAAATCGCGACCCGGTTACTCACCGTAATCCACAGACTTTGTGATGAGCAGAAACGTTTCAGTTTTGGGGTGAACTGCCCCTATAAGCTTTGCGGGGGGGTGATTAACCGGACGTGTCTGCTGCTCCTCCAGCACGCCGGTGGTCCTCGGAGCGCTCCGGCTGGGGAGACGGGGTCGGCCACTGCCAGAAGCCTGAACGGGACGTGCTCTCCGCGCCGGGGCTCGGAGCCCCCCAAGCCGGTGGATCGCGGGTCGGGACCCGGCGCCGAGGACAAAACAGCCAAATTAAAGCCCCCGGCCATCACCAACATCGCGTCGGAGGCTGCCAATCCCACCTCCCCACCCCCTGCGAAGAAACTCGCCCTGTCTGCCAAGAAGGTGAGGGGCAGGGGGGCTGCTTTCGGGGGAACGCTAACAGCGTCCAGCACGAGCCGTGATTAAACACTGAGTTACTAAGTATCCCCTTCTTTGCTTTTTTTTTTGTCTCTGTAAGTCTCTTTCTGTTCTCTTCTAACCATCTCTAATCCCCCGTCTGCTGCATTCTCTCTTCGTTTTTTTTTTTTCTCTCGTTCATTTTCCTTTCATTTTGTTTTTCCACATTTTTTTTCCCCTTTGTGTACACGGATGGCGTTTTTTTTTTTTTTTTTTTTTTTTCTTTTCTTTTCTTTTAGACCACCAAGTTTTTTTTTCTGTCAATAACTGCAGGCCAGGCCCAATGGGAGTCCCAGCAGCAGTGATGTGCCGCCCTCCCAGCCACGCCCCTTGTCCAGTGACCTCACGCTTTCAGATCATCCACCCCTGTTGGTCTCTACCCCGCCAAATCACAAACCTCGGTATGACTCAGCCTGTAGGGGGTTGTATCTAGGGGCTTGAGTGATGAATATCAGGCACCGGGGGTGTGGGTAGATGTCACAGTTGACCCTGGTGTATTTGCTCCTGATATCTTGGCACTTCTGTGATCCTCGTCGTCTCTGGTCCCCCCTCCCAGGATAGTTCCATTTCATTCGCTCAAGTCATCATCTTTGCCTGGACCCGCCTCCCACTCAGCCCCGAGCAGAAGCTCTCACCCTGTCCCCACGGAAACGAGCCCCCTGCCCGGACAATCCTCCCTGGGGACTGGAATGGGAGATGCCCCTTTCAGCCCTGCACTGAAGAGGAAGAGGAGGAAGAAGAAAAAACGGCATCACTCCGAGATGGGCGATGGGCAGCAACCACCACCGGGACAACCCGAGGCCCAGGAAGAGGAGACGTCAGTCTGTGAGGAGAGGAGGAAGAAGAAAAAGAAGAAAAGGAAGAGGGAGGAGGAGGAAGAGGAGGAGGGACCTGCTGCCTGTCCGGCCCAAGACCTCGTATCGCACCTGGAGCCGCTGGTGGGCGAGCCCTGGAGCGTCACAGCTGACCCGTGGGAGCAGACCGGAGATGCAGTAAGGCTGAAGAAGAAGAAGAGGAAGAGGAAACGTGACAAGGGATTGGAGGAAGCCATGAGTCCGTGCTCGGCCGCAGAGAGGTGCGTCTCCCATATTCACAGTCTCAGGTTGAGACTGGACCTCTTCCATGGGGTGCCCTATTCTGTGCCAAGATATAATGTCAGGATGTGATATTTTATTGTGTCCAATAGGGGGCGGTGTGTGCTTCTGCAGTTTCATGCTCTGTACTCGTGATTGGAAGGTTCAAATCCTGCAGAGTGATTTTACCTCTGGGTCCTTGAGCAAAGCCCTGAACACCAGTTGCTCCAGGGTGTCTCAGTTGTATATTGCTTTGGATGAATCTAGGAAATAAATAAATTAAATGGACCCAGCTGGTTTTCTAAGGGGACTCATGAAACTCCAGAGTCTGAGGATAAAACCAGCATGAGTTTCAGCACAGGGAGGGTGTTTCCTGAGGTGCCCCGTGCAGAATGCTGTTCTCAGATCAGTCTGCTGAAATGCTCCGGCTTCACCCCAGGCCAGCGGCGGAGGAAGCAGCGACCGAGACGAGCACAGTGGACGTGGCTGAACTGCTTCGGCAGAAACTGGAAAGGAGGAAGAAGAAGAAGAAGATGCTGAAGGAGAAGAGAGTGTGTCCCAGAGACCCGGAACCTTCCCCTCAGGAGCCTTCTGAAGAGGTGAAGACTGCTGGCTGCAGTCAAGGTACTGGCATTCTCAGTGTTAAGGTCCATGGTGTTAAGGTTCTGCTGCTATTTAAATACAGAAAGCCATGTACAGGGTCCTGAGCGGCTGGGCATTAGCGGCAATGTTCAGTCAGCAGACCAGCCTATCGGAATGCTCGATTGACTGTCCTCCTCGCCCTTGCAGCAGCGACCGTGATCGTCTGGGACAGCCAAGCCCGGGACGGGTACAAGCACACGCAGGAATCGCAGGGCCCCAAAACCGCACAGTCTGTCTGGGACGGTGCCAGGACCAGCACGGTGGTGGAAGAGCTGCTCCGGAACTCCGAGGACAGAGCGTACGGGAGCCAAGGTGACGGCCTGTGACGGAACTCCTGTCTGGTCTGATGCAGATCTGGCCAATTGTTTCTGTTGATGTTCAAAGGACCTGGCTAGAATTAATGTAAATAGCTCTGATAGAAGTTGATTGGCCAAAAATACAGATTTTTGGGGCAGGGATTATCGCTTTTGCCTGCGCTTCTGCTCAGTGTAGGACATGTTCACTGCAGTTCTCACCTGGGACGGAGAGCTTTCAGCGATCAGCCGGGAAGCCATGGAGGACGCACGAAACGCCAAGCAGGACACCATGATCGACGAGTGGGACGAGGAGTTCGACAGAGGCAAGGTGAGTGGGCTGGGCAGGGAGTGGGTGGGTGGTTCTGTGTATACATGGCCGTCCTGCCATTGGCTACATGAACGTAGCCGTCATCTCATTGGCTGCATGGCTGTGTGTTCGTGGACTGAGGATGTTGCCGTCAGATCTGATTGCCTCTAATGCAGCATTTCGGGCCGCGAGCCATGGCTGTAATGGATTGATCCGGCCCGTAAAGACCCCGCTTCTACCCTCTAATTGCCGTCCAAATGCGATTCAGGCCTAGATCACAGCTAATGGCGTCCTGTGTGGAATTAAAAGGCCCGGAGCTGGGGGGGTGGGTGGGGGAGAGGTACCTCATTGTCTCTGGGGAATGATGAGATGCTGGATGGTGTGTGTGTGTGTGTGCGTGTGTGCGTGCGTGCGTGCAGGTGAAGAAAATGAAAAAGTACAAGAAAGAGAGGAGAAGGAGTGGCAACATCTTCCAGAAGGTCCAAGACCGGAGGAACATGTGGTCCGTCACCGGAGGGAAGAGGAGCGGATTCGGATACCGCCACTGAGCCAGGTAAGCAGGGGTTCGAACCTATGTCCCGCAGACTCAGGAGTCAGACATGTGCCATGTTCTCCATTCCGATTCCAGACTCTCTTCCCCCCCGCCCCCAGAAGTGTCCCAGACTCCCCCTTCCTGCCGGAACATGGTCGAGCCTCTCCTGAAGATTCCAGCTAGCCGCCGGGATGTCCAGGCTGACGGGACGGCTGTATCGTGAGCCGGTTCTGTTTATCCAAGGAGCAGTGATGGTTAACGGGGTCACTGGTGGGCACCTCACCCACCCCGAAATACATTGAACAGCAGCAAACGGGTTTACATCATACAGGGTTCCGTGCATTACCGGCATGGTGTCGGTGACGTTCCCTCCTACGGTGGACCGGACCCATCGGTCGCTGTGGCATTGTCTTATTGCTACGATCATGCCTGCTGTTTCTCTCTTCAGCCGTGAGCTGCAGCGACGGAGCCCTGCGTCGATTCCGATAGAAGCTGAAATTAAATAAGGAAATGACAACACTGAAGGCTGGACGCGTGTTTGAGGGTCTGGCCGATGTCATTGGGTGGCAGGTTCCCTACGGGACAGCATGTGGCATGAAGCGGTGGGCAAACGGGAATCAACTTTAATGCCCAACTCCCCTCACTTAGTCCCCTACTTTGTGTTTAGTTTCTCTCTTTATTGAAAGTCACAGAACACAAATTTGACACCCTAGACGTAGATGGACTTTGTGGTGTGACAAAGACCACAATTATGTCTTTCCCTCCATCTCAGTTCAGCTGCTGTTGTGATGGTTCCCTTACTGACACTCATATGAAGACAGCTACAGTGAGCCACACCATATCAATGTGAGATATAGGGTTATTTTATATTTTCATATCAGTTCACTGGAATGCATTCTGTAGATGTGCATATATGCATATATAATATAATATATAGACACACTAAATGGATTTGTATTGATAAACAGACGATTGTAACGATTTAAACGACATTCACTTCTTCATGTAGTGTGTTTCTTTTCTTTTCCTCTTGTGATGTACGTGTTTGATGCATTTAAGCATATCTGATTGAAAGCAGGGGCGGATCGCGGCGCGTAAACAGGAAGCTGACCACGAAAGCAGCCGCCTGTCGGCCCGGAGAGGTTACCTCGGGTCGCTGGGGCTTTTTGATCTTTGCATCCGTTGAACATGTGCGGATCGCTCGAGCGAGGAAGAGTCTCGGTGTATACCTTATTCTGAGCCATAACGATGTCGATTTTTCATAAACTTACGTTTTTCACCCCTCCTCCCCTTTGCTGAAGCATTGTGAAACTGTCAGTTTGAACCAGGGATTACAGTTGTGGTTTGACTTCTTACCTTCTGATCGGTTTAGCTGAATGGTGTGTCTATATGTGACGGCGATTTGACGAGAGGGAAACACCAAAGTTTTTTTTTTTTGATGGTTTAATGTACCACATTTTGGAGCGGGGCTTTAGAATGGAGTTGGAATTTGTTCCCTTCATCTACAGTTGCAGGCGTTTGTTTCCTCTGCAATCTACCTCCCATATTTGTACACGTTTTCCTGCACAGCTCCTGCCTTCGGGAGAGCAGGTGTAAACTCCGCTTTCCATTCGCTGTTGGGTCCAGCGCACAGAACGGATCGGGATTATCCACGTCATCAGGGAAAATGATGCATGGGGGGGAAGATTCCCAGTGATTCTATTGTCATTTTAAAGTAACATTCATATTCTATGTATATTTCCTGTATATATTTGAGTTACAAACGTGGCAAATTAATATTTACGCGCTATGGATTAGTTGCATACACACTTTCTACAGTTATCCCCCAACCGTTAGTTCAGTAGCCCTTTCCGTCTGATTGGTGCAGCTGGGAGGGCTGACTGTCCCTCCGCCGGCCTCCCCAAAGTAGGGAATTAGCGGAGGTTCTGGAGCGGCTCATTTGCGCGTACCGAGAATCTGGATCCTTCCGGTTTACTGTGTTGGGAAGCTCATGCGTCGCGTAGACCTAGCAAGCCTTGGGTTTTCAAAACTGTGTTCCGGTTCCTAATCTATGCAATTTTTGACTGCACGATTAAACTGATAACTTGAGATTGTATGATGGTCGTACACACACACACACACACACTTCCCCCAAAGCCTACACCGACTGCTGTATTACGATCTCCCACATTCTGAACATTCATGCTCTCCTACTTCACAAACATCTCCGGGATCTTCCATGGAACTGGGCAAAAACTTATTACCTGTGAAGTAATGGAATAAATGCTTTGCTAGTGTATATCTCATACATGCACATTGTGCTTGTGATACCAGTACAACAAAATGCAGTTCGGATATTACAATCATTTGAACCATTTAAACTTGAGGTAAGAAATTTAAATGGGTTGTTGGGCTGTAATTTTAGAATTTAACAAAAAAGTGTTCGGGGGGTAAACGCAATGTATTTGGTATTGACCTCCTATGCCTTTACTGTAGTGCAGTACAGTAAGCAACTTGTGGAAACACAAATCGTGTGTTCGGTAGATTGTATGAATGTTTTGTGTGTAATTATCGGGGAGTAGAATTGTTAAGTATTCATAAGTGACCCTTTTTTTAAAAGAAATTCTGATTCTAACCCATGTATGTAGTTTGCATTGTATTTTGCACAGTTTCGGATTTAAAAAAATACCTTTTATTAATGTAGGAACTATTGCAAAAGAAAATACAAACGTGCAATAAAATTCTGTGAACATGTTTGTTCGATGTTTCTCGCTTTTGGCTTAACTCATTTTAAATACATTCTCTTCCTATAGATCGATGTCATCAGTCCGTTAAAAACATAGTTGCCATTTGATCTTTTGTTACAATTTACAGTCATTGAGCCAGCTGAGAGATTTTGTGATCCAAGCGACAATTACAAATGCAAGCTATATAATAAAACTTTTATACAAGATGTGCTCCTTAAGAAAAGGGAAGATGTCCCGCACTATCTACTTATATACCTGAGCGATCTGCGCGTACATCTGCGATTGCGACACGTGACATCACCTCGGGAGGGGGAGGGGCTGCCATTTATGTCAAAGGCAAAGAGGGATGGAGACGCCGTGAGTTCGGAACGACTTGCTGCAATAAATCACCTGCAAGGAAACCCGGGGAGGGGATCGAGTGACAGCCGAGAAAGAGGAGGGGAAGAGTGAGGGAGCGATAAAGGCGGAGCGGGGGCGCACTTGGAGCGGAGGGTTCCTTAGTGCAGCGGCTGCAGCGTTTCAGGAGAGGCGCCCCGCATCACCATGAGCACTGCGAGCGACGATTACGGTAGGCACTGGCATTACTGCCACCTCTCTACACCGCAGCGGTTACAAGGGACAGGTATCTCCTGGATGCTATAGATAGGTGCGTTGGCATTATTTTTTTTTTAATTATTTTATTATAAATAAAATGCAGGTCTGCGTGTCGTAAGCTGAACTACATGATGATCCCGGTTTTCTGTAGCTATGGCAATATCATGCAGCTTGATACTAAAGAAGTCCAGACACGTTTCTTTAATTAAAAAGAGAAAGTGTTGTGAACTGTAGGATTTCGGAGCAAAACATACAAAGTTTTGTGACCTTAAGCGATAAACCCCAGATCAATGGATGGTATTTTTATACGCAGAATTACTGAACACAAGAGTAAAATGTAGCGGCAGTGTACACCGAAAGTTGTCTGTGATCGGGCCATCTGGTGCATTTATCACCCTTTTTACTGATTAACTTCCTTGACAGGTTGAATCGCAACTCCTGTTAAATATGTAATATCAGTATGACGGGCGCAGCTCGCTGTAGAGCTACTTATGGCCTGTCATAATCAGAAATCACTTTCCAAGTCTTTTTTTTTAATTAAAAATATAGTCATAGAAAACCATGACGCGTTGCGACGACTTTTCTCTTTTTTAGTAGGTAGCCTACTAAATTGTTTTAATAAACAGTTTTCGATGTTAACCACTGTATTTAGCGACTGATTGACGCTCCTAATTAAAATTATCGCTGGATGCGCCCAGTACTTACAGGTTACAGCCGCGCGGCTGAACCATCCAGACCCAGAGTAACTAGCGCCCCGTGCACACCCCCCCCCCCCCACCCCCCCCCGACGCGCTTTGCTGATCCCCTGGGGAGGATTTAAAAAGTTTTTAATAATTAAAGCTTCGGTTATTCAGTGTTTTCTCCCCGTTCTAATGCTGTGATATTCACTAGGGTGCAATATTTAGCATTTTTGGAACTGTTCATTTATACCAGTACGTTTGTAGAGAAAATACTTAGAATTCATTTGAGTTGTTTCCTATTTTGGGGTATTTTTGTCATCGTTTCAGACGCTTCGCCCAAAAGAAGAAAAACAATCGATTTAAAACTAGTTTATAGATTCGATTTTCATTGCCTCAGACGGAAGCATCTCGAATTGGCTACCTATATACAGTATGTGTCTGTCTGTCTTTCTCCCTTTTGTTCCGTTACTTTACAGGTTAACGGTCTGTCTTCGTGATATTACTCAGCAGCAAAAAATAGACGTTAAGTTCCAGACAATAGACTGCAGCCTGAAACCTAAGAGCACCTTAAATTTTATGCCTGTCATTGCACCCTCTTGCAGTGAGTGGTTTTTCCTTCCACTCGCGAGATATCCGTTATAATTAGATATCCAGCAGATATTGCAGAGTCTCGGGCGCTGCAGTCTAATCCCGGCTGTTGACATTCCTTTCCTGATCTAGTTTGTTAGCTTCTATTCTGTTTCACCACAGACTTAAAGACGTACTGGATAGATGCTCCTTTTTTGTTGGTTCAAATATGTTAATTATAATATTTAAAGGAAGTCTAATAGGGTGGGGGTGGTTGTGCAGGTGCATGTGGTTGTCGCGGTTACAGAACCCAGAAAGCATCACGCTGCTGCTGTCACCAAACCAGCCGGCCCCGCCTCCTTCAGCAAGTGACGCCGGTCAGGATGTAGATCTGAGCTTGAACTCGTCTCACCTCTGCAGTTTTTAATAAGTTTGCTTGAATGTGAAAATGTAAAAGCAGAACAGACAGAATGTGTAGAAACCAGGGTTCTGTACTACGAAGCGGGGTTACTGGCTTATTGGGGTAACTTGTCGGATTTAAGGTAGTCTGAGCAAAATGTAAGTGAACGAATATGAAGTCCATTTAAGCGACAGACAGTCCATGTTTTTACTCCCTCCCAGCTCCATAGCACTACCTTAGAATATAACCTAAGTTTGCCAGCACATTAATCCACCCCAGTTGGACTGTCAATACTGTGTTTTGATATGCAGAGACTGTTGACATTTGTTACCGATATCATCATTACTTTATCTGTTCGGCAGTGATAACCAAAACGGAAAATGCTACGTTAATGTATCACTCATACCATCCGTTCAAAGTAAAAAGCAAAGTAGTTCAGTAAATGTCCAACTCAATAAATATGTCATATAAATAACGTCTTTGTTTGTCTGTATATGAAACCCAGTGATTAAGGGCCTGCATCATATATTTGATTTAAGGACAGCACCTGAAAAGGCACAAATGCAGTGCTCTCCTCTCCTCAACCAGGAGCTGGGAAGGATGTAGACTGTCTGCAGAAGCACTGGTCTAGGGGGTCAAAAATATCTGCATTTGTTGTGAACATCCACCCACACGGCTCATTTTCAGGGCAGACACATACTTCATGCTGCAGTGTCTCTTTCCTGGCTTTTCAGTGGGAAGCGAACAAACAAACGTCTTAAATCTCTCGCCTGCTCTGCCTTTTCCCCTTATGGTTTCCGACAGTAAGTAATGCTGACTTTCTGAGCACACGTGCACCGAATCCCCAGGGAGAAAAGTTTGCCATCCAGCTGCAAGCTGAATGAAGGAATCCTGAAGCTGCAGAGAGACCAGAGGTCTTTCATGCTGTTACTTGGAGTCGCCATAAGATGGCGCCCTCGGGTCACAGAATGCAGTGACAGAGGATTCATTCTGCCAGAAACTGTGCTGCTCAGTCAAATGAGCTGGTTTGTACAAACTGAGTTTAGGGCTAAAGAGGGATTCTGTACAGTGGTTTTGGAGCAGCCCAAACCACTTCTGGGGAGGAGGCGTGTGGGGCTGTGTTGTAGACGGATAGCAGGTGGTTTGTGGCTTTGTGGGGAGGGGGCAATGCCTGTGTAACACATGACTGTCTCTCACATGCCCTTCAGTCCCGGCCATGAAACAAGCCCCCGCATCAGTCCAGCCGCAGTTTGCTCAGCACTGTTGGAACAGTAAGTCACTTCCCCTTCGCTGGGGAACCTGGTCCAGTCCAACTTTCGGCACCTGTGGATCACTTTCCGACGCGTCCGATTCCCCCACACTTCAGTGATCCCATCCTGGTGGGTCGTTGTAAGGAATCAGCTTCAATTTTACCTGGGTGGCTCCACTTCTGACCCCCACCCCCCCATACCCTCCAGCCTCGCTTCTCCCTCCCAGCCTCGTCCTGACGGGGAAGCCGGGTCTGTCCTGCCCCAGATTTCAAATCCTTGTTTCTTCTACCTTGTGTGTAGTAAGCGCCCCTGCTGGGAAGCCACACTGCCCACAGTGGTGACGGACGGACGAATCTGCTTTGTTAGTCATCCCACCATCACTGTCCTGTTCCGCACAAGCCTGGCAGCCAGATCAGACAGGCAGCTACTTGGTATAGAAGCATGAGCTGCGTATACCAGTGCAAAATAACAGTGCTGAAAGTGAGCTGTGTAGCAGGGAGGCCCGTTTTAGCTACACTGTCAGAGGCCAGTTACTATGTCGGGAAGAGGAGGTGTTTTTTATCCCGTAGCAAGTGAGTTTGTGTAGGTGATGAGTGTGATGAGTGTGGTGAGTGTGATGAATGTGGTGAGTGTGATGAATGTGGTCCTGCAGGCCAGACACATAGAGGGGGTGGCAGAGGCCACACGGCCCCAACTGAAAGTGCGGCCAGGCAGCAGGAAGCGGTTTAGCAAGAAAAGAAAAAAACGGGCTTTTAAAAAAAGAGGGAAATGCTAAGCTAGGTTTTTTTGTGGGGGGGGGGGGATTCTGGTTAAGCAAGAACAAAAATAATAAGAATATTTATTAATGATATGTATCATTTATCCACTTACTCGTGAGTTGCTTTCTATTTAAAGCATTATAATAAACTATGAATAATATGATAATAAGCAGATAGTGGTGTTCTGCACCTCCGTAAGGAAAATGACAGATCTCTGACTCCTTGTCATGGACCCACCTTGATGGACCCTGACGGTTTGTGTGTGAGCCGGCCTGTGGTACCAGTCCAAACCCCAACTCCAGTGCAGTGCTGGGCCACATGCTCCATGTACGTCAAGGGTTCTAGGCCCGAAGGGGATCCCCGTAGCAACAGGGAGAATAGAAGTAGCCTGATGGGTGAAGTGAATTTTAATTTTGCTGGGTAGTTTGGGCAAACTCATTTATATTCATGAGAGAAGCTTCCTGATTGGCTGGTGAAGGCATTCACTGGCCAATCAGCTGGTACTTCTCTCGTGAATTTTAAGAAGTATTCCCAAACCACCCTGCAAAATGAGAATTCACCGGGGGAAATCGGGATGGGTCAAAGGTCAGCAATCACAAGCTAGAGAGCATGTGTTTGGTGTGCAAGGGGGGGCAAAGGTTGACAGGGACAGGAGGAGACAAGGAGGATAGGACCCCTCTGCACAGATTCATGCATGCACTTGCCATGCAAATGATTTCCCATGTGATTGCAGCCTGAGTTAAATAATGAAGTCAGGGCCCCTGGAT